CACGTGGCATTTCTTAATTGGACAGTTTATCCTTAAAAACCCTTGTAGAGAGATAGACAGGACTCCATTTTTTAGTTTGCTAGCTTGAAGTTCTGTAGAACTCAGGGTTTGTGAGACTGTAATATAGACAAGAACTAATAAACATCTGAGTCCAAACAAGAAATAGCGTCTCAAGCAATTAATGCCAATCCTGGCAAAAAGAAGGTAAGAAGCAACAGGGTTCACTGCTTTTCTCAGGAGGGTCAAGCCTTTCTCTCTAGGACACTCTGCCCACCCAGCTGCCAGAGGAGACACGGCTGTGTGTCAAACACTGGCCACTCCCAGTACCTGACAGGGCCTCTCCTCGCTGTAGCACCTCCTCGATGTTGGCCACCATAATCCTCTGCACATCTTGCAGCTCTGTGTTGATGGAGCCCAGGTTCCTCCTCGCCCGGCTGTCGATGTAGAGCTTCTTGGTTTTCTGGATGTAGGTGTCTGGAAGGAGACAGGGATGTCAGGGGCAGTCCCACCTAGCACAGAGCTGCCTGGCTGCAGGAGGAGTGGGAGCACTGCTGAGACAGCCACAAGACTACATGCAAGTATTCACTGGAGTGAGGCCAAGAGCAGGAAAAAAAAAAAAGCAGGAAATCTGAATCTAAGGACATGTGCCATTTCCCTACCACTTCTATATTCTCCTGCTCAGAACACCCATGTCTCTGGTGCCAAGAAGAATTTGAGCTGTCAATTCCACAGGACAAGCTGCAGAGAATCCTGTGGCTGCTGCTCCCCCCCAGCAGGAAGTTTCCTGACTGGCCACAGGGAGAGGGACCTCACCAAATTCAATGAAGGAATAGGGCCTGGAGACTGTGGGAACCTTCTTGCCATGCTGCTCATCAAACTCTGAGTACAAGTCCTCCAGGTAGGCAAAGGCCAGTTTCTTGGGGAATCCAGCTTCACACAGGACCAGGTAACACACTCCTTTCTCGATGATGTAGCTGGAAGAATGGCAGACAGAGCAGACATCCATCAGTTTTGAACCTATCCTGTCAAACATCATGCCTTTATTCCTATGAGACAATGAGAACTGGGTACAAGAACTTCTGGTTTTCTATGTCTGCATCGAGTGTAAACCTTTCTGCAGAGCAATGCTTTATCTTTTCTTTAGCCAAAATAAATTTTCTTGTAGCCTCAGACCCTACACCCATGCCAACAGTCTTGGCTTTGACTTCAGTTGAACAAAAGCTGGCCTGTGAATACCATTAGCTTCACAAAATACCAACAACAAAAGAGTTGTAATTTTGGAGTATAAAAGAGAGAACACCCCGTAGCCAGGAGAAGGGGACCACAAGAAAGTTTGCCAGCAGAATAGAGAGGAAGGTGGCCAACACTTCTCTAACTGGCACCATTTTCTTCCTTGCTTAGCCAATATAAAAACAAAGGCTACACCAAAACCAAGGGGGTGGAGAGAGTAAACAGCCCTGTAAACACTTCTGAATGCTTATCTATATTCTAGAGGGTGAAGTGTGAATGCTACTTTTAGGCTACCTTCCTTTGACTTTCTGCATAATACCATTATGCATTAGTCTGGTTAGCATAAAGATTAGCAGTGTATTAAAGAAATGATCCAGTCCTGAGGGCACTAAAATAAGCAGCTTAAAATTTTGTAAATAGACACATCAGGCTTACAAAACATCTTCTCCCCACTGCTTTTCCAGATACCCCAGCAGGGCCATGTCCTTTAAATTAGCCATCCTCACCTTGTTCCTGGGCTCAGGAGTATCCATTTCTCCTACCTCTATATGGCCTGTGTGTGAACCCTGGCAGCCTTCAATCAACAACTGATTTATGCCAACCAGAAGCAAGAAACTCCAGCTGCCATAATCCATTCCAAAGCATGCCCCCACGTGCTCATTCCTTTTTATGATTCTTTTTATGTCCCCCAGCTTGGACTGCATCAATGCCAAGACTAATCCTACACTCCATCATCAAGCCTCTGTTCCTCCCTTACCTCTGGAGACCTGCTTGCCACATTGGGGTTGCTACAGATCATCACCCAGAGCTTGATTTAGCCACTGCCATGACGAGCAAGAGTCGAGCAGATCTTTTGAAATGAGGAGCAGCAGTGTCAGAAGGGAATTCTGACAGCACTGCTGGAGCAGCACTCTGAGGAACATGTCCCATCAGCACAGGTCTGTTTATCTCTGCCTGGTCCAGCTGGTCCTGCCTGGAGCTCTTCAGCTGCATTTCCCACTTGCTGCTCTCCGGTGTGATACTCAGTGTTGGATTTAAAGCTGGTTTGTCAGCACCACAGAGAGCGAGCTCACCTCACTCTGCCCCAGATCCAGTTTTGTCAACCTCAGACCAGAGCTCCTGCACAGCTGGGCCTCTCAGTTTTGTGTGCACCTCCAAGATTCAGCACAGCAGCTGCCTGCATGTCCTCACAGGGGGCAGACGTGGCCATTTGCCACTGCTCACTCTGCACAGAGTACAGCCAGCAGATTCCTTGTAATCACGTTGGACATGTTGAGAGAGAAAAGCTTTATCCTGGTAACAGTGGCAAAGGCCAAGGGTTGCATTTAAATGACAGGTAAGAGTCACTTCAGCCATTCACCAGCCAAAGGTCACCCCCTCACTGACAGCACAGCAGGCACTGTTGGTATTCCTGCACCTGCACAGCCCCCAGCGCTGCTGCTGGAAGGGTGACACAGCTTTTGCAGCAGCTCAAACCTGGGCACAGCATTTCACAGCAATCCCCTGAGTGTTCACAATTTAAACGTCAAGTTTCAGTAAGGCTTGGCTCTGCTTTGAACTGATGAAGCTGTAGATGTTCACCACCACCTCAGCAAGTCCAGCAATACCCTTGGCCATGCTGCTAACTCCCCCCACAAAATGCTCTGTCCTGCTTTGTGCTGCCCTCAGCAGACAGAACTCTGATCTGGCAGGAAAAGATTGGTGTACTGCATTAACGAGCAGTGTGGCCATCAGTCAGCATTATTTCACACTAAATCTCAAATTCTCCCATCACCTCCCCTTTCTGCAGAGGAAAATTTCTGACCTGAAAGTGTTCTTTTCACACAGGTCCTGCTGTAATATCTCACCTCAAAGGAGGCAGAAGCAAGTGCTCTGCAGCAGCAGCTGTCGGTGGCCAGCAAAACCTATCCAGGGACTAACTCAAGCCAGAAGGAGGAACACTCCTGTCCCAGCCTGGCTGTTCCTTTGAGGCAGCTGGCAAAACAGGCCTGCCCAAGCCCTCCCTCCTGTCAGGACTGGTGTCATTACAAGCACCACTAAGAAGCTTTGATTTCCTGGGCAAGTGTTGCCACCTTCCCAGATAGAGCTCTGCTTGCATCACAGAAGTAACTCAAGAAGGGATTTACTGGGATCTGCACAGGCTCTTTCCCAAGGCTTCACTGCCAGGCAGAGCTACACCCATGCTGTGCCAAGGAGACACCCAGAAACGAGGGATTTTTTAAATTCTGTGAAGATTTAACTTGTAGAAAACGCAAGAAGAAGAGCAGCACTCAGCACTTAACTCTGGCAACAACATCCAAATCCAACAGGAGATAAGGATGGCCAGGCCAATCAGGGCCATCCTTTAACAACTGTAATTCCCTATCAAAGGCTACCAGAAGACCAGAGAAAAGATTTTTTTAAAATCTTGTCACAGTTAGCATACATAAGACAACCACATGAAAAGCATCCCCAAACAGTTTAAGAAATTAATTAAACACACCCAACAAACCTAGCAACAATAAATTTACTGGATGAGAGAAAGAAGTCTGTCAGATATTACGACAATAATAATAGAAATATCCAGAGATGCTCGGTGTGCTTGTAATGCACGGAAAGCTGAGCTCTCAGAGGGCACAGACAGGAGGAGCTCACAGTGGCACTGCCACATTGGCTTTACAAGGACAGATCTCTTTAAAGACAAGATACGGGAGACCAGAAGATGTACTGAGAGCATAACAGGGAATGCAAACAAACAAAAAGCCAGGAAAGGAACTGAACCTGTACTATCTGCAGCAAAAGCAGAACTGTGAACCTGGATAAAAACCGAGTGCCAGACACCTGTGCCAAGCAGTGACAACTCACACACTGCCCCTTTCCAGCAGGGAGCTCTCGCCGGCAGCCTCGTTTCTAACTAAAGAAGAGTCCTCGCCCGTTTCCACGGCAGAGCAGCCGGTATCCCCCGCGCCCCTCCCGGTACTCACTGGAAAGCCATGGATTTTGCCTCCAGGGTGCATCTGGTCGGGGACTGCTCGTTCAGCTTGCGGAAGAGCTGCTTCGCCTGGGTCTGGTACTGCTGCAGGTCGCGGCCTGACTGAGGAGGCAGGGAGGGAGGAGAACGGGCTGCTGAGGCGGTACCGGAGACACACCGGGCCGCTCTGGGGCTGCCGGGACCAGCCCCACAGCACCGGCTTGCTCTCCCCGTCCCGCCGCCACCACCGGGAGGCAAACGCTTGTGCCAGAGCCGCGCTGCCGTGAGGAGGGACTGCGCGGCTGTCAGTGGGTCGCCCCCCGCCCGCTCCTCACCGACACACCGGCCCCTCCCCGGCCCCTCCCCGTCCGCGCCCCGCCTGCCCCACCTGCTCGTCCTCTTGCATGGAGGCGGCGAGCAGGAGCCCGTCCGCCACACGGGCGATCATCGTGAGCAGCACCATGGTCGCGCCCGCCGCCCTGCCTGCCACGGAGCCGCCCGGAAATTGTCCCCGCCGCTTCCGGTGCGCGCTGGCCGCACTTCCGGGCCTGGAGCGGGCGAGACCACGCCCCCTCACCGGAACCACGCCCCCAGAGCAGCCGCTCCCTTCCACACGGCCACGCCCCCAGAGCAGCCCCGCCCACTATCACGCCACGCCCAGCGCCCCTCCCCATTGGCCCCGCCCTCGGCCCCGCCCCGTGACGCGCCCCCCGCGGGCGGGGCGGGGCGGGGCGGCGGCGGCCCGGCGCGGTGGGCGCGCGCCAGGGCGGCGGGCACAGCCATGGCGGCGGCGGCCGAGCGGAGCCGCCTCAGCTTCCCCGGCGGCACCGGGGCCCTGGGGCGGCCCGTGCCTATGAACCTCTTCGCCACCTGGGAGATCGACGGCTCCAGCCCCAGCTGCGTCCCCAGGTAAGCGGGCGGGCGAGGGCGCGGACCCCACCCCCTTTCCTGCCCGCTGCTTCCCCGAGCCCCTTGCCCATCACCTGTGCGCTCCTCCGCGCCATCGCGGCGCCCCTTCCCACCCTTCGCCGCTACCGCAGTGACGGGCACGGCTCCGCCCGCCCGTCCCTTCAGTGGGTTTTGGGGAGGCTGGAGGTGCAGCCTACAAAGGGTGGGGGGCTGCTGCTGCCTGTGCCAGCCTTGCTGGGGTCACCTTCACGGCGAGCGTCCCCCCAAACCCCAGCCTGGGCTCTGTGCTGGCGGCAGGCTCTGGCCATCCATCCCCGGGGGTGCCGTGTTCCCGACGCCTCTCCCCGGGGAATGCCCGCCAGGGATGGGCTCGGGGTGCGCATCCCTTTCTTTTCCAGCCGTGGTTTTTCGCCCTCTGCCCGTCTCGGGTGTTTCCCGTGTGTAAACACGCGGCCGTGCTTTCTCCTGCGCTGGTTTCAGCCCGCATGGCAGGCATTCCTCTTAGTTCTTAGAAATTTTGCGCTCTTCAAGCCTAGCTCAGAACGGAATGCCTATGAAGATTTGAACGTGACGGAGACAAATCTTTGAAGCGCTTCTCTTTCTCTTTTTGTTTTAAACGAGGACGTATAGCGAGCGAGCAGCAAGGGAACGGAGTCATCAGGCTGACCTGGCAGGAACGTAAAGCCCTGCAAGCTTTACAAACCCCCCCAAATCCCTGTGTCTTCTGCGCCATCCACATAGCAGGTTGGACGTGGTGGCCATGCCCCTGTATTGCAGGGACGAGTAACTATCCCGGCATCAACGCTGCCCATGGTGGCCTGACATCGTGGGCAGGGAGACAGAGGGGTAGAAGCAAACCTGAGTCCTGCAAATTGCAGGTAATCTTGGTTAATAGCAGCTTCTCTGTGCTAGCAGCGCCCCGGGCAGCAACTTTGTCAGCTCGTGTCTCGTTCTTTTCTGCAACGGGAGATCTTGGCATGGGTCTGGCACCCTGGGGAATGTGCCCCTCCTCAAGGAGTCTCTTTGCTGTGGAAGCTGGATGGGAATAGCTGCAGGAGCAGTTGGCGCTTTTTCATTTTTGTGCTAGACAAAAAAGCGTCCCTCCTCCTGGCAGGCGGTTGGACTGAAATGATCTTTAAAGTCCCTTCCATCCCACAGCACTCTGTGGTTCAGTGTGACTGGCGTTGTCCCTGCTGTGCAGAGGACACGGGGGTGTCTCATAGCACCGCTCTGAAAACAATTCCCTCCGCTGCACCCTTTACTACAGAAAGGCAGCTGAGTTTCCATCCCATCCAGCCTTGTAACAGTGGCTGTTAAACAAATAACAGCCCAAATGTCCGACACTGTCAAGGACTTTTCGTTCTGCATTATCATTTATGCTGATACTTGCAGATCTGCAAACGAGCTCACAACATAGCCTGCTTGTTTGCAAATCTGTAGATGACCAGAAAATGCAGTGTAAGGACACTGACCCTGCCTTGATGTGGCAGGGGGTGGGGAGCACAAGGGTGGGTCTGGGTGCTGGAATTGTGAGGGGCAGCTGGTTGAGGTGCCTGGAGGAACGTGGGGAATGCAAAGCACATGTGGATATGTGCAGGTGGGGCAGAACTGGGGTTTGAGGGGGAAAGTCTGGAATTGCTGAAGCAATCTGTGAAGCAGGGGATGATGAAAGTGCTCAGATTGCCTGCCCTGAGGCATTGATGGAAGAACTGGGGCATTTGGGACGTTGTAGAAACAAAGCTTTTGGTTAAGGGAGTTCGGGTGTAGCTGTGAGTCCCTCTGCTCTCAGCCCTGCTGTTGCCATTACCTTTATTTGCTCTACCTGGGTGCCCTTTTTCCCTGGAGCCAGGGGGATGAGCTGCCATGCAGCTGCTGCATCTGCTGCTGCCAACCGTGTGAGCCTGCTTTCCCACAGATGTGGAGTGCCCCCATGGGCTGGGCACAGGCTGCAGGTGTAGCTGTGGGTGCCAGGTGGGTTTTGTTAGGCCAGAGTGAGGTCAGGAGCAGCTGAGGTTGCAGGTTCTACAGGGGTGTTGGTCCTGTGGCATGGTGAGGTGTGTGCTTGCTGGGCAAGCAGCGAGTTCTGCAGCAGTCAGTGCTGCTCTTTCTAATCATTGATCCTCATGCTTTGCGTTTCATTACAGGCTTTGCAACAGACCTTTGTGTCACAGAAAGCAGGAGTTTGAAAACCTTTAAGTTCTGCTACTGCCTCTGCCTTTTAAGTTCATACTGTAATGTTTTTTACTATGGCACCATGACACTTAAGATTCTTTTATGTTAAAGAGACATTAGAATGAAATCTTCTGCGTGGGAAATCATATCCCAAGTGAGCCTTTTGTCCCAGCAAAAGGGACGTGGGGACGTGAGAGGCGGATGTGGAGCAGAGTGAGCCTTGGAGTGTGGTCAGGCACTGTGAAGCTGCCTTGGTCTCTTTTGAGATTTTCACCAGTTCCCTTCTGGGTTTCTGTTGGCAGGACAGGCTTTCCAAGAAGAGGAGATTTGAACTTGGCACAAAGTCAGAAGATGCGTGTTTGGGGAGGGAATGTTGCTTCCTTCCCTTTTCTTTCTGGTCCAATAAATCTTAGCCTGTTTCTTAGGTGTTTCTCTAACCATGACCTGGAGCAGGAGGGGCTGGGTGGAAGCAGTGCCTGGAGTGGTGTGTGCCTGCACCTCTCTGAGCTGTATGGGTGGGTGCTGAGGTGGAGGATGTGTGTGTGCTTCCCTGAGAGCTGGGCTGTAGATTTTGAGAGCACTGTTCTTCAGCACACTCTGGTGGGTGATTTACTGAAAGTCCATTCAGCTTGGGTGGGGTGTCAGCAAAATCTGGAAGGCTGCCTTGGTGCATCCATGGAGTTTCCTTGTGTGAAAAGGCTGGGTCTAAACTTAAGGAAGAATAGCACTGAGGAGTCATGGTGTTGTTCTGCAGTTGTGTGCTTAGTGTGAAACATGAGGTGGGGTGGTGTTTTGCATTTGTTCTGGCTTCTCTTACTCCTCTGCCATCTGCAGAAGTGATTTTATGATTTGTTCTTCAGCACACGTAGCTCCTGGGAGGTTTGGCCATAGCACTTTCTGAAATGCAGGAGAAAAGAATGACTTTGTTTTAGTCATCCCAGAAATGTGACTCAAAATGTCTCACTATCTGGGTGTATCCAGTGCATAGCAGAAGGAAGAGATACCTACCTTCTCCTGTTGTTTTCTTTCTCCTGTGCACTCATAGACTTTCCTATATTACATAAAGTTCTCCCTGCCACCTGTAAAGACTGAGAGTGATCTTCTTGCTGCTTGGCAGTGAGGGAATCAACACCTTTTTCCTCCCATTTTCCTCATGCCGTGAGAATGAAAGTAAGAATTACTCTGTGGATTTTGGTGTTGGCTTTCTTACCTTCCAATCTTTTGATGAATGACAGGATGCAGTACTGTCCCATGTCAGAGTAGCCTCATGAGAAGATGGCACCATGTGGAGGTTGTCCAGAGGAAGAGTGGTCTTGGGGGGAAGGTTTGGTTAAAAGGGTCTGCTGCAGCAAGAGAAGGCAATAATAGCTACTCTTCCCATTCAGGGTAGGCTTTGTTTCATTAGTGCCTAAATTATCACAAACTTGTAGAAATTGCTTCTGAACTTTGAACTGTCGAGTGGATTGAGACCAAACTGGATGTGGAACAGGTGTGACCCAGCGTCCCTGGGGGATATGAAGGGAGAAGTCTGTGAACAAACCAGTGGAAAGGTGGTGCTGGAGGTCTGGGGTTGCTGGCTGGGCACTGCCTGAGCATTTCGTGTGTTGGCTCCAAGGGGTCCCACACACTCCCCAGGGCTCACAGGAGGCTGGGGGTGCAGGGCTGTGGTACAGCACTCAGGCAGTCACAGCAGCCCTGGTACGGACATCCCCAGGGGCAGTGGAAATTGATGGGGATGAGATTTCGGATTCAGGCAGCTGAGTGGATCCTCACAGTGCGTGCTCCTGCCCCAGGCTGTGTGCTCCTCTCTCTGCCAGCTCCCATCTTCTTCCACTGACCTCTCTGGCTGGCTGCTTCCTGTGGGCTCATGAGTTGCAGAGGGCTCTGTGTGTCACCTAAAGGTGACAGCACCACTGATGTGTGACAGGAGGGACACAGTGAGGACTGCTGGGGCATGGAGCCACTCCAGCAGTCTGCAGGTTTGCACCCCTATCTGGTAATTCCCTGTCTAGCAGAGTGTTGAGGGGCTTATGATCTGTGTGAAGTCCACAGCTGACTCTTCCCCATGAGGATTTGCCAGAAATTCACTCAGAATGGGACACTTTGCCCTTTGGGAAGGATGCATTGTACTGGGAATGGGAACTTCTCTTGGCCAGTGAGAGCATGTTCTGACCTGGCTTGAGTGATGGCAGCTGTGCATCACATCCTCAGAGAGAGGTGAACAGCTTTTTATAGTAATAATTATCATCAGGTGATGCTATGTCATTAAAAACACTGATTAATTCGGGTAGGAAGAGAAGTTACTTTAAATGTATCTTAACCTTCTATTCTGTGGGTATGCTAACATTTAGGAGGGAGCTCTTCCTGGTTAAGATAACTGCTGGCACATTCATTGGGAGCTGAGGATAGATTTTCAGTGCACTTGGAACTAGGAAAATGTCTAATTACTCAGATGACTAGGTACGTTTCAGAAGTGCTTATTTGGAGGCTTTGTTTTGACTTTGTTTGAAAAGCATGAAATGCCTAACATTTTACCTCGGAAGGAAATTGAATACAAATGAGGGCACAGGACAGACTTTAAAAATACCACTGAGGTGATGCTGAATGCGTGAGATGCTTGAGGAAAAGCATTCACAGCTGACCAATGGAGATGGACTGCTTGGAGTAAATTGCAGTGGCCAGAACCAACCCTTCTTCTTGGAGCTAGAACATCCTATTTCTCCTCCTTAGTCTTTGGGGAAGAGATCCCAGTGATCCCTAAGTAAATCCTATCACTTTGTATGATCCTGCTGAATGTAATTTGGGTGCTTGTATTATTCAGTGGAAGT